ACAGTTCCCCTGGATGCTATCCGACAGTACCCCTACGGTTCCCTGGGTTTTATTCTACGGTTCCTCTATAGTACCCCTATAATTCCCTGGGTGCTATCCTACAGTATCCCTACAGTTCCCTGGGTGCTATCCTACAGTACCTCTACAGTTCCCCTATAGTACCCCTACAAATCCCTGGGTTCTATCCTACAGTACCCCTACAGTTCCCTGGGTGACATCCAACAGTACCCATATACTTCCCTTGCAGTACCTCCACATTATCCCTACAGTTCCCTGGATGTATTCCTACAGTACCCATACACTTCCCCTACATTTTCCTGGGTGCTATGCTACAGTATCCCCACAGTTCCGTATAGTTCCCCTACATTTTCCTTATAGTACCTATACAATTTGCTGGGTGCTGTCCTACAGTACTACTACAGTTCCCCTACATTTCCCTGGGTGCTTTCCTACAGTACCCCGAGTGTCATCTCGTGTTGAATTAAACAAACATACATGTTGGCAAAAGTAACCGGTACACTTCTCCTAAGCCCTGAATCTGGTCACCCCCCATGGAAGACTGAGTGCTCACATAATTTTGTGCATTGAGTGCCACGAGTATCTCAGTCATATAACAAGTTATGGGTTTGATGCCTTCTCATGATAAAGAATTTCAGCACGGTTATTAGGGGCTACTACATTGCTTTTGCACCAAAGCACCACAATTGAGATAAAAAGTACAATGAACGGTAACCCCTAACAGCCAATAAGAACTCATCTTTTCCAGAAATGAATTAAACTGAATTATGTGATAGGCTGCGACAAACTGTCATTGCTCTCTACACAATGTTGTTTACGATTCCATATGCTTTGCTTCTGCACTTTCCTTATATAACTCCCATAAAGAACGATATAAAGCCCACACACACAAGCAGTGGTGTAATCATTTGCTGTGTCGTCACTCTTTTCATCTTTGACAGGAGCAGGACGTTTAACCGGTTTAATGTGCCTGTGTGTAGTGAAGGGGATATGCGGTGTATGTATCAGAGCGCTCCGGTGAATGGAATACAGCCGGGGATGAAACACTTGACTGTTTGGGTGAGGACGACAGACGAGACGAGTGTTCTCTGCCATAGAGAATGTGACAGTGCCAGGCTCTGCCATCCCACGCAGGGTCTGATGTGTAATAATAGTACAGTGTCTTCCCCATCATCCAGCACACAGATGTGTCAGGGGCTTCTGTTTGCTATAGAAGCATCCGCGCCAGCGGCTCTTCAACTCGATAAAAGGTTTACACAGGGGGCTCATCCACACTAGTCACCCTGATCGGCTAAGTCAACGCAGAATCAACGCAAGGGCACTTGCAAAACAGTTGTTCTCTATGTGTTGTATTCACACCATATAAATGTGTTGATGTGCGTTGCACCATGACAAAACAATGCGTTACGTGCGGCAGAGCGTCGCCACTCGCGGTTGTGCACAGAGTTAAATGAAAGGTTCTTTCGTTAATTTAAAATAAAGAAAAATGTAATCACGGTAATGCTACAATGTGAACCAGTGCCTGCGTGTTATACGCAACATAATGTGCATGGGCCCCAAGCCTTCCACTCTATGGATTAAAAGGGATCAATGTCACTTTGCTTGATCAGGGCCAAGTGACTGGTTCTCCTAAAATACACCCCTCATACACCTCTTCACCATACTCCCTTGGCGCTCCATTTGTCTGCTGGAGCCCTCTGAAATACCTTGGTATAGGGGGCGTGTGGCTACCTTCCCTTACCCCCTAGCATGTAGTGCTTGGATCATCGGAGTCAACTGCCAGGCCCAAACACTGTCACCTGGGGAAGAGGGTCATTTTGCCACTTTGCTCATTCAGGGGGCGAAGTGACAGGTTTTCTTATAATACACATCCATCCCCATTGATTCACCCCTTTGTCCTGCTCCCTTGTCACTTTGTTGGTCTGTTGGAGCCCAGGGAAATACCGATACTTATACGAGGACATGTGGGCATCCTTACTTTCCCCCCAGCATGCAGGACTTGAAACTTAGAGGCCACTGACAGTGTATATAAACCCAGGAACAAAAAGTCTTATACAAGATGTGGCGGCTGCATTCATTTTCTTCCCTTTATTTTCATCTTGTGATGCTGCAAATAACTTCCTGTCCTAGGGTGACAACACTCACCATCTATGGAGGAGCACCATTGTCATCCTATGACAGGACAACACCGACCCCTCTCGTCTTCTGAAGAACATAGCGTGAGCATTCCATAAATAATTTTTTGAGAATTTAGTGAATGCAGACAACATCTCAAGTACAAATCTAAGAATGATGAGCAGTATAATGAGAGATACAAGTCAGCGTGCCGGAGAATAATTTTCATTTTTGAGTAATTTTTCAGGAAAAATGATAGTTTGGAGCACTGGGCAATTACAGTTCAAGTATTCCAGTACTGTAAACAGGGATCAATTCATCTAATACCATACGAGTCCCTGTAAATGATCGCAAAGTATTCACCTACTGCTCATTCACCTATGATCATTTTGATCAAGAATATTCACCTCATCCTATCTATGGCCAGCCTAGGCTCAGGTGAATGGCACAGCTCCCGAGTCAGCTATCTGGAGATTTAATCAGCAGTTTTGCACACCTAATTAAATCGGCATGATTGACATTAAAGTAAAAAAACGTTTATTTGAAATAGTTTCTGCTGTCTTATGATTTACAACTCCTGGAAGCAATGTTTTGATGTTATCAGTCCCTTATCTATTTTGTGAAATTACGGCAGAAAGGATTGCGATTTATTGACAGATTATGAAATTACCCTTGGTACGCTAAGAGAGTGTTCAGAAAGAGTAAGTGGCGTCTTATCGCTGGGGTTAGCTATTAACAGAGAAGCACAGATTATACAGATTAAATCTGAGAAATAAAGATTACAAAATGACTGGACTAACACAGAGACCCCTGCGACCCTACAGTATCCCCACAGTTCCTCCGGTGCTATCCTACAATAACCCTACAGTTACCATACCGAATCCCTACAGTTCCCTGGGTGCTATCCTACAGAACCCCTACAGTTCACTGGGTGCCATCCTACAGTTACCATGCAGTACTCCTACAGTTCCAAGGGTGCTATCCTACAGTAACCCTACAGTTACCATACAGAACCCCTACAGTTCCCTGGGTGCCATCCTACAGTAACCCTACAGGTACCATGCAGTACTCCTACAGTTCCCTGGGTGCCATCCTACAGTAACCCTACAGTTCCAAGGGTGCTATGCTACAGTAACCCTACAGTTACCATACCGAACAACTACAGTTCCCTGCGTGCTATCCTACAGTTACCATACAGAGCCCCTACAGTTCCCTGGGTGCTATCCTACAGTTACCCTCCAGTACTCATCCTACAGTAGTGCTACAGTTCCAAGGGTGCTATCCTACAGAAACCCTACAGTTACCATATAGAACTCCCACAGTTCCCTGGGTGCTATCCTACAGTAACCCTACGGTTACGATGCAGTACCCATACAGCCAGTGATATATGTGTGGCCCCACTGATGGTAACTTGTATCCAATCTACAATACTGTAGGGGATTTTTTTTTCATAATCATCTGAACTGACTCTAGTTGCAGATTTAATAGGTGCCCTCAGACATAGCAAGATTACTTCCCAGTCTGCTCCGTGAGGTCAATAGACATGACATTCGGAAGATCCCAGCAACATGTGCTTGTGCAATCGTGCATGTTTATGCAGGAAGCAGACACACGTGGCTCTTGTTTTATTTCAGGAAACAGTCCAAGCAAAAATAAAACAGTTCATCTTTCAAACTGTAGAAGTCACGGAGTGCCCACAGACATCAGACCTTCTCCAATGTGACCCTCATTGCAGAGACCGGGCAGGAACTATTTTATGTTTGTGGGCTCCTATTCAGTCTGAGACATGACATGCCAGTGGGAAGACCCCAGCACCACATGTGTAGCTGAGCATGAATCTTTCTGCAGGGGGGCAAACACCTATCTCTAGGAATAGCACTAGAAAAATGCAATTCCAATTTCTAATTTTCCCATATGCAGGAGCCACAGAGTGCCCACTGACATCTGACCATCTCCAGCATAACCCTCATTGCACAGACTGGAGAGTTATCATCTAATGGCTGCAGAAGCCTATTCAGTCTGAGACATAACATGCCAGTCAGAAGACCCCAGCGCCATGTTTCTAGCCAAGCATACACATTTGAACAAACACATGAACACATGCATTGAACAAACACATTATTCTAGTCTTATTCTGAACCATAGCCATAGAAAACTGCACTCCGAATGACTAATCTTCCCGCCTGCAACGAAATGCCAACAGACAGATCATCCCCAATGTGACCCCCACAGGGCAGACTGGGCAGTAACCATATCATGTCTGCGAACACCTACTTCGTCTTAGACTGTGGAGTCTATATATAAAGCAGCGGATGTGACTTTCACCAAACATTCTCCGGTGAACAATTTTGCAGGTCCATATGATTCAAGTGACAGTGATTGATTCTCCAGCGGAGAATGTTTGGTGAAAGGCACATTTACTGGTTTATAAACAGACCTAGGGTCCTATAAGTGTGCACGGCATGACCTGTTATATTATTCTGCATCAGGTCTACCTCCTCTCCAAAAACACACACCTAGATTTTTAAGATAGATAGATAATTATAATATATATATAAAAAATAATATATTTTTTTCCCCGTGTTCATATTTACACACACAGCGCTGCATATTAATAAGCTCCAGGTATATTATTTTGTTAAAATGTATACGCTGATAAAAGAAGGCTGTATAGCAAAATAAAAGTTATTCACTCAAACAGCAACACACGTAGCGCGTAACCCATAGCAGCACCAATCAGCCCTTTCCTTCTCGGTCAACAGCAAAAAGAGTGGCGAATGGTTGCTACGGGCTACCACACCGACTTCTGCGTTACGGGACGACCCCGGCTGCGTTGTTAAAAGAAAACGATCAGGAATCCTTCTTACCTGTGCATCCTGTACATGGGAATGACAGAGCCGTGCCAAAGTGGCCCGGGGACCCCGTTCCTTTGCCAGCCCAGCAGGCTGAGTGCAGGGTACGCGGTGCCCATGGAGCCATGGTGTGACTTGCCCTCGGCTGCCAGAGAAGACGCTGAGCTCCCCATGTGTGCCCCGATCTCACACAACTTATCCCGGGCTAGATCTGAGAGAGCCACACAGGAAGCGCCAGGAGGTGGTGGAGGGCATCAAGAGAGGGGCAGGGGGAAGGGCAGAGGAGAGGGGAAGGAGGGCACAGGGACACAGCACAGAAGCAAGGAAGGAATGAACCGAGGGAAATGGGCACAGCTGTCAGGAGACAAGGAAGTAGGGAGGGAGGAACACACACACACACGCGTAGAGCAGGGAGGGAGAGGGAAGAGGCTCGGGAAGGCAGAGGAGGTTACCGGGAATCACCTTTATCACACACAGCCAGCGTGCACAGGAGAGAGAGAGAGGAGAAAGAGAAAAGTGGCACAAGTGACTCAAATGAAAATGGAATATACAAGCAAGACAGAAAACAAAAAAAACAATCTAGTAAACAAAAAAAAATGTGTGGCACGGACCTGTGCTTCCCTCTTCCCCAAGTGACACATGGACAGGCATCTGCAGGTGGCGGAAGGGCAAGACCTAGAACCTGTCCTGCAGCATTCAGGTGTAATTACAGGATGACAAGTAGTGTCACCATATAAATGTAATCATATATATATAAAAACATCCAAACAAAGATCTCTGCCGGTAACAAGGCTCCTTCTAACGAGGTAATTAAGCATCATAAAAAGAGGTTGCTGTGATCGTTACTGAGAGCCGAGGCCTTCTACTACTTGCTCACTCGCTAATCGCTGCTTTTATTGGGACAACAATGATTTGCATTAGTGGCAGGAAATTGCCCATTAGCGCGGCGTGTAAAGTGATGCACGCAGGCTTACTTAAAAACTGAGCTTTTAAAGGGGAACTCCACTTTTGTCAAGAGGGAAAAAAAACCTCTGGGGTGAGGTATGTAGTAGGGATGCACTGATACGGATACCGATAGTGTTTGTACTTGTACTCGTACTCACCCAAATGCTCTGATGCCTAGCCCGATACCGGAACTTCCGGTATCAGGAAGCCGGGCAGTGGGTCATTAAATGCTGCCCAGCTTCCCGATTGGCTCCATGCTCCCTCGTCACTTCGTCCTACAGATATCTGTGAATATTAGTTTTGGGCGAATAATGCCAAAAACGAATGTTCAAATGTATTGCCATGTAATACTACATTAAAGCCGCTAGATGGAGATGGGGAGCATAGGATAAAAATACTTAACTGCTATGCTCCTCAGCTCCATTTAGCGGCCATAATGTAGTATTACATGACAATACATTCAGACTGAAAAAGAACATGAGTTTTTGGAATTATTTGCACAAAACAAACATTCACAGATATCCGCAGAGTGAAGGGCCCTGCAAAATGTTTATAAATAGACCCCCAAGTTAAAAAATAGTTGATGGTAGATCAAAAGGTGATAGTACAATCATACTGTATATAGTATATGGTCAGCCTAAGAATGCTAGAGGCACAGGCATGCACTGAAAGCTGGAGACCCCAGGGTCCCCAAGGGTCTGTGGAGAGCCATTCTTGAGTGAATGGCTCTCCACAGATGTGGGACAGTCTTAAGCAAATCTGGATATGGAACGGTATTTAATACAGTGGTACCTCACTTCACAAACTTAATTTGTTCCACGATTCTGGTCGCGAACCGAATCAAACTGTGATAAGACCGTGATCTCGACTAGAGGAAGCCACGACCACGTGTCAGAGCAGGGTAGATGGCTGTGGTTGTGTTCGTCACCCGATGCAGAGTTCGCGAACGGAAGCAAAATTTTGCCGAACTTCCTGTTCGCGAACAGAAACGGTCATGATCCGAAACGTTTGTGAACCGAGGTACTGTACATTGTTCTGATGTTTCCAAGTACAGGAAAACGCACATGCCTATTGTATGAAACAATATGATTATTTTAATGCAACGGGTTGTCTTCAATGGCGACCTCACCAGCTGCCTATTCTCTCCACTCAGTTCAGCTGCCAAAGCAGGAAACACAGCACTGAGTATGCATGAGCATGTGACCCACACCCCGCCGCCATGTGGCAGCGCTGGGGGTTGTTGAATGGTCGATGAGGGATCAAAGGCTGTCACATGGCGGCAGAGAAAGACTCCTCCGTAAAATCCAAGTCACGTCTTCCTGTGCGGAAACAGCCATTTGCAGTCTCCATTGAAAGCCAAGGTGACAACACAGGAGCACAATTAGAAGACAGGGCCAGAGTGTGATCGCCCTACAACAGGAAGTGTCTTAACGAGGACCTACATGGCAGGATCACCAGGTATTATTTTAATGAAAGCTGCAGAATTGACATGAACATGTTAAAGCTTCTATCAGATTCTCGAGATTGAGATTCCATCTGGATGGTTACTTGCAGGAAGTATTGCTCAATATGTACAGACGGGTGTGGAAAAGCGTTGGCACTGGCTGTGTAAATACGTGAAATAAATAGACTGTCTAAGTGTCTGAAACCCGCTGTTCCTTGGAGGTGGCAGTGAAAATGCCTGTGGCATGGAAGGTAGAATGGTGCAGACATGTAGAAGGGTGCTATGGTGGGAGTGGAGGAAGATGGCCTCGAGGTACTTGCTACTTCTCTGGCATGAAGCTCCAAGTTCTGAGCCTGTAGCTGGCAGACCTCTTCCAAAACAGACGAGGGAATGACTCAGCATCCGAAGAAGTACTAAGTGTTTCTTAAAGTGATGCTGTACTTGGCCTATGCAGGGTAAAGCAACATGCTCACTTTGAAGAGACCCTGTCAACAGACAATTCATTTCAACTATAATCTTCCCGTAAGATTACCTGTCCGTGCTATTTACCCGTAAATGCCTCCCTTTTGTAGAAATCCAAGAGCCCTGAGAGTGATGCTGGGTGCCGCCATTTTGGATGTGATGTCAGCACTCGGCAACCCCAGCAGACTCAGAGCCGTCACTCAAGTCATACTCTATATAACAGCCATTCTCAGCTAGGGTTCTGTGGAACTGTAGGGTTCCTCCAGAGGTTGCTAGGGGTTCTTTGAGCTGATTGATCTCCCATTTGATGGTGCCTGCATAGTGCCGGGGCCAATGCCCCTTGGCAGAGCCAGCTGCATGACACCAATGATCTTTTTGGCTGTCTGTAAGGATGGCATTCTTACCACTGCTGCAAGGGGGGCATTCTTCCTATTGACCATCACTGTAAGGAGTATTCTTCCCACTGACCACCAGTGTAAGGCACAGTTTTCCCACTGACCACCAGTGTAAGGCACAGTCTTCCCACTGACCACCAGTGTAAGGCACAGTCTTCCCACTGACCACCAGTGTAAGGGACAGTCTTCCCACTGACCACCAGTGTAAGGGACAGTCTTCCCACTGACCACCAGTGTAAGGGACAGTCTGACCACTGACCACCAGTGTAAGGGACAGTCTGACCACCAGTGTAAGGGACAGTCTGACCACCAGTGTAAGGGACAGTCTGACCACCAGTGTAAGGGACAGTCTGACCACCAGTGTAAGGGACAGTCTGACCACCAGTGTAAGGGACAGTCTGACCACCAACTTCCCTCCAGTGTAAGCGGCAGTCTTCCCTCCAGTGTAAGGGACAGTCTTCCCACTGACCACCAGTGTAAGGGACAGTCTTCCCACTGACCACCAGTGTAAGGGACAGTCTTCCCACTGACCACCAGTGTAAGGGACAGTCTTCCCACTGACCACTAATGCAAGGGGAATTTTTCCCACTGCACCGCCATCTTGGATGGGATATTGGCAGCTCTGCCAGGCTCAAAGCTGTTGCTCAAGTGACACTGTACTGCAGCCTTTCTCAACCAGGGTTCCTCCAGAGCTTGCATGGGGTGCCTTGAGCTGACTGACTGCAGAGTTGTACCCTTGCTATCTGTGTAGAAACAGCGGTCTCTCTGCAGCAGTCTGTCATGCCTCCTACTGAGTCAGAACTATATTTCTGCAATCAGCAAAGCTCATGTTTCTGCAGAAAACAGCAGAGAAAAAAACCCAAAAAAACTTAACCCTGTGAAATGTAATCTTTAACCCCAAAATGTAATCTTGAAAGGAGAACTTTAGTCTGAAGCCTGGAAATCATTAATTCAGTTAATGGCGTAAACCAGCAACATGATCTACTTGCTGAATGGGAGTGTTACATTTTCTTCCTATAGTTCACGTCTGCTCAGCTACGACGTGGAGGAGGAACCACATGCAGGAGACAATATTAAAATTCTTCATGTGGCCCCGACAGTTATAAAACACCCCAGGAAAGTTTATTTTAGGATTGTCGTTTGTTTTCCCTGAAATGCTAATGATAAACCTTTTTACATGCAATTTGCGGCCATTTTGTTGCTTGTTGTTTATGGGGCTATAGAAGCCTTGTGTAAACATAACATGTATAAGACTACCACCATTGAACGTGGCACGGCAGAGGCTCAGTGACAGCGCAGAAAGAAATATGTCAGCCATCCTGATAAGATGGCGGGGAGGCTGTAGCTGACCGTTGGCCACACTTAATAACAAAGTGAGAAGTTGTCACTGTAGGGAGGCAGAGGAATGCGGACAGTGATAAGAACTGTGAGAGAGATCACAGGGTACAGAGATGGGGATTGTGGAAAGAATGGTGTGAGAGGATTCAGCAGCTCCATGTCTCTCCAAAAGAACCGTCTATAATAACTATATCTGCTCACATGTTATTCTCAGATACGGCACGCGGAGACCCGAAGCTCCTCATCCGATGGCCAGTGAAGGGTTAAAGGGTCATTACAATGACACCTGAAGCTGGAATTACCCACCAGGACTCGTTTGGCATGCTATCGGTTCATGAAGTTCCCATCTCCGCCCACTTTTCACAAGAGGGTTCGGGAGTTCCCATCTCCGCCCACTTTTCACTACAAGAGGGTTCGGGAGTTCCCATCTCCGCCCACTTTTCAGAAAGGGGGGGTTAGTGAGTTCCCATCTCTGCCCACGTTTCACTACAAGAGGGTTCAGGAGTTCCTGTCTCTGCCCACGTTTCACTACAAGAGGGTTAGGGAGTTCCCATCTCCACCCACTTTTCAGAAAGGGGAGGGGGGTTAGTGAGTTCTCGTCTCCGCCCACTTTTCACTACAAGAGGGTTCGTGAGTTCCCATCCCCGCCCACTATTCACTACAAGAGGGTTGCCGAGTTCCCATCTCCGCCCATTTTTCACTACAAGAGGGTTCCTTAGTTCCCGTCTCCGCCCACTTTTTAATACAAGCGGTCTAAAAGGTACCCACAGACTTAAAGGCCAACTACAGGCACCAGAAAAAAACAAAATACCCTTACAGTGGGGCCTCCCCGCACTGCAAAAGTTAAATGCTTGTTAGGTCACGGGTGTAGAG